AAAAATCACTTTTTATCATATGATTCTCCCGTTTGTTGGCATTTATAACTCTCGACCCAAACGTTATATTAATATTTATTATACATGAAAACAATTTATATTTTTTAAATAAATTATCTTTTAAAATAAGGACTTATTAATAAAGTTTCGTTTATCTGATAATCTCATGCAATTTTCCCACATTTTTATATCATTTGTATAATAAATATTACAATATTTACATTAAGTACATGAGAGACAACAAAAAACTAAATCTTAAGTTTGGATGAACTGAGTTCTGAGCCTTATTCCCACAAATTGGACAAAAATTGAAATCAAAAATATATTTCTGATTAAGAATATTATGATTGATTGTAAAGCACTTTACATGTGATATAACACTCATAACATATTTTGACTTTTAGTACACGTTGTGAACTGAAAAAATGCAAAATATAATGTTTTTCACTATTGATTTGCAGTGTAAGAGCCCTGGAAATTGAGTGGTTGTGTTGGATAGGGAGGGAAGGGATGAATAGTCATCAGAAAACGTAATTTTCCACAACATGTTAGTCACACACACGGAGAGAGAACTCGTTGTTGTCTATTGTTATTACCATTTTTGTTATACCAATACAATAGATACAAGTGAACAGAGAAATAGGAGCTAATCTTCACCCCCAGAGTCTCTCTCTCTCTCTCTCTCTCTCTCTCTCTCTCTCTCTTTGCGACCACTGCTTGTATTGCTATTTACGTATTTTGGTCTTTGATTTTCGTGGACTCAACTCAACAGCACAATAGGGATAGGCTTTTGTCACATTTAATAAACATAACACACAGTTTGCTTGGATAGAGGTTACGCACCGATAGGTTCTCCAAAGCAGACACAACTCTATACCAGAATATTATTACAAGTTTTGAATTAGCGAAATATGAAGTTTCTTCTCTGAGAACATTCACGTTTACATTCATTTATTCAATTGAATTGTTTTCATGAGTTTTATATTGTAGTTGTTTAATAGGGTTTCGATTTTAATAATTATAACAATAAATATTGTGATAACTATTCAGTGATTTATAGTATATTTGGGTCAATAAATAAAGCATTTGTTTGGTTTGAGTGGAAAAACAAAATCAGTGGCCATAGGAGTGAGAGGACTGACACCGGGAATGACCTCCTAATGAGTGCAATCTATACATACATACAATAACACCGGTCTCTAAAGCATATGTTTGACCTCTCGATCCCACAGCAGAAACACTTTTAGGCACCTGTGCTCACCATAACTGACCCTCAAATACACACTACAGTATATACTGTACCTGATTTTGGTGAGAATCGGTCTCTCTCTCTCTCTCTCTCTCTCTCTCTCTCTCTCTCGTGCTATCATTACTTATTTATTTCTTTTTTGAAACCAAAATTTCCATTTGAATGAATAAAATGAATGCTTGACTTACATATGACTGCACAGTGAGAGTGAGTATAGGGAGGGAGAGGGAGAGAGAGGTTTTGGTTTCGTGAACTGGTCTTGAAATTATACCTAAAGCTGAGAAAAAATACATTTTTCTCTATTCGAGAGCGTATTGTGTTTTTCATAGAAAGTTTAAATTGTTTATAAACTTTAATGCACTTTATATTTAGCTTAACGTTTAATTCACGTTTCAAACACTCAATTGTGATTTAATGACTTATACGCGAAGAATATGTTATTTTAAAAATAGTTTTTCATTTTCACTGACGAGAGAAAACTTAAATTACATTTTTATGACAATCTTATCGTTACTATAATTAGACTCTAATTCTGTGATGTCTTTGTGGTTCACAAGTTCTTCGTAAAAGTAGTGACATTTGCTGTCATCTCAATGTCTGGCAAATCAATAAGTCTTAACAATTATTTACGGATTAAAATTAATCATGTTTTCATATTTTTATATAAATATGCTTTTGTATGAAATGTATTGAATTGATTTTAAAAGATATTTGTGTCACAATTGGTCTGAAGAGAGCAAAGAAAATATTTTGTTTTAATAACACAATTCTTACATACAGTATATGTAAAATATATACAAGTTTTAAAAATAAAAAATAATAGTTTAAAATGTATTTTACATTTATGATTGAAAACATGGGTCTAAAATATTTGAAAATTAAAATATTCTGCATTTTTATTTTTCCACACAATTGTAAACCAGGAAATTATATATTAATTACAATCGTAGGAAATGTTTCGCCAAATAATCAATCAATTGAATCCTTCAATTCAATCCTTTATCCAAACTATTTAGAGCTTAAAATATGAAATAATATTTGAATTGATTATACAATTACTATTAGTTGAGAAAAATTGCATTTAAGTGTTGAGAAAAACATACATTTTCTTATATATTTAAGTTAATTGATGAGAATGTCTTTTTTAATATTTGGCTGTAGTATTAACTCTCAGTTAATTTGTGTTCATTTCAATTATATAAATAGTGGCATAAAATAAATATAATTTAAAAACAGTTAAACAATTGACTTCTTTATTATTTTAATTTAATTCATTTATGTTATTATAAAACTATTCTCACATATTATATGTCAAAAGGATTGTCACTTATTTCTCACTGCATATGTGGTCGTAATATAAAGTTTATATTTTAATTCATTAAAAGGCTAATTATATTTATTTATGATTTATATGAGAGAGAGAGAGAGAGAGAGAGCCATTATTGGGACACTAAATCCTAAATTTGAAATTAGTTAACTTCTTATACTGTATGTTCTTCGTAACTTGTTATATAAAAATACAATGTGCTATATTTATTAATAATAAATTATAATGGTCAAACAAACATTACTGTTATATAATTAAGTTTGAAAAATAGTCAGAATTAAACAAATGTTACATAATATAAATGTTAAACAATATTATTGTGAATTCTAATAATAAAGCGGTTCATTGGGAGAGAGATTTGGTATTTAGAAAATATTCTCATAGACTTTATGCATATTAATAGAGTCTGTATTGAGTATAATTGCAGGCATTTTAGATATATTTAAATTGAGAGAATAACTAAACGTTTGCGTGACTTTCAAATAGATATTTGTAGTGAAATATTAAGAAAAAATAAAATTTAAAATATTTCTAATTATTATGTGAGACTATTTTTTATATAACACATTGACTTATTTATTGTGTAATATTTCTGTTTTGTTTAGTTGTTAAGCCTTTACTTCTCATACGAATAAATAATATAAATAAAATTTTATGATAATTGCATCTTTGTATATTTATTCGTTTATATTTGTAAAACATTAATTCTCTCTCTCTCTCTCTCTCTCTCTCTCTCTCATATAAATCATAAATAAATATAATTAGCCTTTTAATGAATTAAAATATAAACTTTATAAGTCACGCAAACGTTTAGTTATTCTCTCAATTTAAATATATCTAAAATGCCTGCAATTATACTCAATACAGACTCTATTAATATGCATAAAGTCTATGAGAATATTTTCTAAATACCAAATCTCTCTCATCTCTATGTAAATAACGATTACAAGGATTATGAGTTCTGTTTTAAAGATTTGTATAATAAAAATATATAAGTTTGTAGAGTATGTCTCTTACACGTCATCCCATAATTTCAATCCTTGTGTTATTTTATTTTTTTATGAGACATTAATATTTAAATCCAATCGATTTGTGTTAAACTCGAGATTCAATTCAAGAGCAATCGCTATAAATGTTTAAATATTATAATTAGTGTCCAATTTCCCAATAATTGCCAATTCTTATCACTAGAAATACTACCACTTTGTGTACAACTATTTAAGGAGACTCTCAATGCTATCGGTTTAATACATATCAAATGTTATGATATATGAAAATTAACTTTTGAAATAACAATAAGTTATTATTAGTTTTCAGAGAAATAGTATAACTTTGTTGGAAAAGATGCGATCAAACGACGAGATAAATGCCTTATTCTCCATAACTACCACTTTGTACTCGACATACAAATTCAATGCCAGGCATAACGGCTCGTATAGTATATGTGCCAAAATTGGTAATTGAGTAGATCTTGGGTTCAGATTTATATGTTTAACATACAGTATATTAATACAATATGTTTTCTAAGAGTATGTATTGTGTAATTATGGTTGATATTCAGTGAAAAATGGTTTTTATGGTTAAAATTCATTTTGATCTCGTAATCAATCAAATGGTTTTGTCATTTGTATAAACACACCGTTTGTAAGAATATTTTTTGCATTGTATTTTACATTAATATAATAGAAATTCATTAAGAAACCAGAAATAAAAAACTAAAACTAATTATTAAATAATTTTATTCATTGATATAAAGAATTCATAAATGTTTTAAAAGAATGAAACGAAACGAATGGAAATCAAAAGAAAAATTTAAAATTAAGAAAAATATGAGAATAAATAATAATAAAATACGTGATAAATAGAGGAAATAAATTACATAATAATTTATATCAATTGAATTGAATTGTGAACACAAAAAACTAATATCAATATTTCTAAATGAGAAAAATTATTTTGTTTATACAGTATATGTATATTAATATTATACACGTTTTTAAAAACAAATAAGAAATATATAACTAATGAATGAGAGGTAGAAATGAGACAAAACAACAGACAAAAAACAAGGTAAAAATAGGGACAGGTTTGCGGGGGTTATGGGATGTGGAGTAGTAGTCGAGTCCAGAGGTCGGACACTACACTCTCTGCCATCCAATAGACAATGCAATTGTTAGGCGCAAAACAAAAACAACTATTTTTAGTCTTTGACATAACTAATGGCATTCAATATAATATATGTTTGATTATAATTAATTTTAGGACGATTTCGATACCCTGCGGCCCCTTTGCTACCCGCAGACCAACGTATTCCTACTGTGTTTCAGTGTTGTCTGTCCGACATCTTTCCACAACATACAGGAGAAATGGTTGCCTGAGATCCGCCGTCACCGACACAAAGCGCCCATCATTTTAGTGGGCACTCAATGCGACCTCAGGCACGACGTCAAAGTGCTCATTGAGTTGGCTCAGTGTCACGAACAGCCCGTTAACAACGAGGTCGCCCATAGGGTCGCCAATAAGATCGGGGCAATCAAATACGTCGAGTGCTCGGCTCTCACACAGAAGAACCTTAAGGTTAGACACCATTCATCACATTATTATCGCTGTTTGTAATTCAATTGTCAATGATTTGAGTTTTTTGCACAATTTTTTTCACTCATAACTGCATTTGATTTCTAAAAATATATATCACTATGGATTTTGTTATTGAGTTTAATTGGTCTGTCATTTATTTTTTAATAGCAATTTATTTTAATAGTTATTTAAGTTATGAATTTATTTTAGTAAATATATGATGGCAATTAAAGCACTAAATAATTGAAACTAGGCTAATTAATAAAGAAAAAACTTTTTGAAAACTTTTGTCTTTGCTTATAATGTATTGCATGTATGGCTCATATGAATAGTGCAAACAATGAGATCTTAACATAAAGTCGACTATTTTTTCGCACGTCTTCTATATTTGATTTGAAAATATAAATCATGATAAAAAAATTCACACAAATTTTTTCTCTACACATAATAGACGCCACAGAATCTCAATGTAAAACCAAATGTCAGTCAACATAAACTTAGCATTTAATTAATAGACAAACTATTTATAAATAAATAAATTCAGACAACAATTGTTTGAGAAATTTTTCTTTCTTTTTTCAATGACTTATTTTTAATCTTATATTTAAAACACTAAATAATAGGATGTTTTCGATACGTCAATACTGGCGGGCATTGAATACGAGCAACAATTGCTGCAGAAGTCAAACAACAAGAATACATCCAATATTCTGGTCAGTTGGGGAAAAGCAAAGGGCAAAAAGTGGCTCAGAAGTGGCTGCAGTTTCACCGGTGGTGCCAATCATGACAGCCCTAACCATCACTGCCACAGCACTTGTTGCTCGTCGTCGTCGTCCTCGTCTTCGGGCTGTTGTTCGTCGTCGGCGTCGACCACATCGTCGTCGGCCTCCCATTACGAGTGCTGTAGTGACACATCACTGCCTCCCATACCGTATCCTCGAAAGGAGTCCTCGACGTCGTCTACATGTCAGACCCCAACTACCGGTGCATTACATCCGCAACAACTGTTTTGTCGACATTCCAGCAGTAAATGCAACAAAAAGATCACGAATTCGAGTAAAAATAGATTACGAAAGGGTTGGCGACGATTCTGTTGCGGTTTGTGATAACAAATGAGTAGTTTATATATAATTATAAGATATATCCCATTAATTCTGTATATGTTTTTATTCTCCATTTCCTTTGTATGTATAGAGAAATTTGTTTTTAAAACACTTTTATATAATATATATATATATATAGTGTCCGTGTGTTTACTGTATAGAAATTAAGTGGTATTTGGAGTAAAACAATAAGATATTTTCACAATTTATTAGCAAAACAATAATAATAATAAATAGTATTAAGAAATTCTGTTTTAAGTGATTTGTTTTATTTACTTATATATAAATATAATATATATTTATCTTATTGTTTGCGAAACAAAAAATCAAAATAACCGACATTTCACACACAGACACACGAAGACCTGGATTTATATGCAAAATATATTTATAACTTTTCTCGTCTTATATTCAAAAATAGACTCAAGAAATAACAAAATTTCTGTACAAAAAATCAAATATCAGAGGAATTGTGTGAAACAAAACAAAATATATATAAATATTTTGCTATAAATTTGTCATTAATTTTTATTGACTGACACATCATTTGATTGCATAAAAAGACATATTTGTGTCAAACGATTGTAATCTTTTGGTGAAAAATTCAGAATATTATATATAAAACACGAAAACAAATTTTTATTAAATATTATATACATATATTGAATATGATTTATATCTAATGGCTTTTAAAAATCTATTGACTTTTTAGTGTAAAAATAAAGAGAAATAAGTTATCAATAAAATGTTATACACAAAGAAGTAAAAACTCTGATATAACTGTATATCTCTTATTTCACTCTTAATATTTTTTCCTCAAACCCTTTATCAATAAATTTATTGATTTTAAGACAATTTTAAGTGGAGTTTAACACAAAACAAAATGAAATTTGTTTTTATAAATATTTCTTTTTGTAAAAATATAAATCTTTCAATTTTTGTTTTAAACACAAAACAAATATTTATGTATCGATAGTGTAATGAAAGAGAGCTATTAAGATATTGTTTGGATAAAAACAAACAAAATTATAATTATTTATACAATTTATAACGTATTGAAAAGTAAAATATTATTATAAATCTCTTATAATTATTATAAGACAAACCAAGAATATGAGAGACATATCAACAAAACCTAAGTCTCATTGATTGGGAAAATCGATTGAAGATGTATTGATGTAATTGTAATTTTCACTAAACATTGTAATTCAAAACCGTTTGACAACTTATATGTATAAATGCAAGAATTTTACACAACATTTAAGATCAAAATATTATACAAAAATATGTATCAAATAAATCAAAATTAAAACAAATTTTATTTCAAATGGCTTTTATATTAAATAAATTTTATTATAAATTAAATTTTTGGTGTCATTTATTATTTAACACATATTTTTCTTTCTTTAATATTTTAAATCCAATAAATAGTTGTCAATAAAAGGACTTAAAGGAAAGTTTTAGCTAAAGTTTTGAAAATAAATCGAAAGAGTAATAAAAGCATTTTTAATTTAAAAGTTTTCACCAAAATAAGTAAAAATAAGAAAGAAATATATATTTTAAAGAATTTATATCCTATTTAACAAAAGAGAGATTAGTTTTGAAATATTTCTGTTTGGAAAAAATGTCAAAATTTATGATAAATTCAAATTCAAAAGTTATTTAATATTTTATCTCTTTCTTTTTCATATTTCTTTCTGTCTTTAAGACTATTAATGCTTTCGGAGAAAATATAAATATATAAAACAAATCAAATACTTGTAAATTCAGGTTTTACTCATTGAGAGCACACACTCTCCAAACCAAACCATATAATAACAGACCGTTTGACGAGTGAATGACAGGTATTATTAGTTAGGAGTAGAGGAATGAGATGTGAGAAACAACATAAAAAAAACTGTGAAAAACATTTGATACACTTTTCTGCATTGAAAAGGAGACCAAACATTAAAATTGGTGCTTAAATGAGAGCCCATGTGAGGGACACAGGCTTTTGAAACAAATACTAAAAACATTAAATATTAGCTTTCAATTCAATTCAACCACACATTTGTTTGATCACAAAAGCCTTAAGAATAACCTATTATAGAGTAGTGGAGACACTGTTTTATTACCTAATATTAAGCCACTAATAGTGACTCTGATATCCGATTTTTGTATACAGAATATTATACAACAGGATATCTATGTATTTCATAATCACTGTAAACCATATAATATACTCCCAGAGTATAAGTGTTTCACTAAAGTTAAGCTATTTTTTGGTTAATAATATTAAAATAATGTCTTTTTTATTATTTATCCAAAAACGCCGAAAGCCTTTTGATTACATATGAAATATATAATATATTTTTGTATGATTGTAGTCATGCCATCGCATCTCATTGTGTCTTTGTGTGAGACAAAAGTTATCAAAATTTTGTGATCATTTTTGATATTCAAAATGGACTACAATTTAAATCATAAATGAAACTCAAAACATCATTCATCACAATTCTCAACGCTTTTCATACTTTAGGGTAGAAATTGTTTTGAAGTTCATTTGTATATTCACTTTATATAACAATTGTAATTCAATTTTCATTTTTCAATGTAATGTCTGATATGTGGTATAATTGGAGCGAAAAAATCAAAACAAATTTGCAATTAAATGATATATTAAAAACATATATAAAAAGATAGTGTTCTTAACGCATAAAATATAAATATAAATATAGAGTAACTTTAATAACAAGCAATCATTTGATTGAATATGTATTTGAAATAATGTTTTTATGATAACTGCTATAAATATATAGTAATTATAATATGATTATAATTAGCACAAACACTATGTCTTATAATTTCTATCATTTAAATGAGAAGACTATTTATACCAAAGATTTATTCAACTAACCGATTATAAGAGTTATCATTATTTTGTTTTGTTTTATTAATTCTCTATAATGAAAGAAACGCTTTTTGCAATCATTAAATAGCAGATTAGCTGTCAATTAATAACCCAATTAATAAAAATCACTTATTAATGGTTTGAGAAAATGTTAACACAGTTTTTTGTTTTGGTTATATGTTTGCGCTGTAAGAGTATTAGGCATATAAATGGACATTTGATATTTGCAATGTTATTGGTTTATCATTCATTTGCTTTATTTTTGTTATAAAAATTAAATTTTAATAAAATTAACATTTAAATATATTGAGTTTAAATATTTTAATATACTTTTAACTAATAAAGTAGCAATTATTGTGCAATAATTTTTTTCAGTTCAATGAATTTTATCGTATTTTTTATTATTACTGTTATTACTAATGATTCTCTCTCTCTCTCTCTCTCTCTCTCTCTCTAAAATATATAAAAATAAATTTTTGATATTAAAACATGTGATTTTGTTTTACATTATATAACCGTTTAAATCCAATTCATTTCACGTTTCCATAGAATTATTACTAAAAATAAACAGTAGTTTTTTTGGGATAAAACGGTTTATTTAACACATAATGTAAGTTAATGTTTTGTTATTTCAAGAAATTAAACAACAAATTAGATTTGACTGTAATTCATATATTTTAGCACTTATTTAACTGCACCTGAAATACATAGCCATTAATTACATGTCAATTGAGAATTAGGTTTACATTTGTATCCATAATATCTGAAGACATTTATAACGCCTTTACAGAAAGGTTTAGGCATTTTTGCGTTTATTTTTTAAGGAAAATTAAAACATTAGAAATAGAGATATATTTGACTTTTTATGCATAATTTGCTGTAAAAGCTCTCCTCCTTTTAATGCCCACATATAGTCTCCCAAATCCTTGATCTAATTATATCTACAAAAAAATCTGTCATTTCTTTATTAATTATTCAAAAGTATTTTTAATTAAATTTTTGATTTAGATCTCAGATTAAAATTCATTAGTAGTTTATTATATTTACTGAAAACTAGAATACATTTTATTGAATATAATTCTTAATTAAAATATACTTTATAATATTTAATAGCATTTCTTAAACTTTAATTCCGTGTAAAACCCAAACACAAAATAATATAATTTTCCATAAAATTTATAGTGAATAGTAAATCAATTACTGATGATAAGAGAGAAACTTTAATGAATCGTAATTTTTATTTTAATTATTTATTTTATAAATAATTTTTATATAACTAATAAATTGTGGATTAAGCCAAAGGCCAGCACTGATATACCGTCTCAACAAAAATAAAATAGTTTCACTTATTAAATGAATTTAAATTTTTCAATCTAAAAATCAAACCATATTTGATTTATTTTGGCAAAAATGTTATTAAAATAAACTAATTTTGCTCTTTTAAGCGAATTATATATTTAAAGGCAATAATTTTCTCTCCGCTCTTAAAAAATACTATTTATATAAAACTCATTTTAAAAAATTAAATCACATATTAAATAAAATTAATAATATATTTAAAACAACAACAAAATTGTATAATATTTAACTCGTATATAAGATTTGTTAATAAAGTACTGCATTTTTATGATCTCTGGGCTATAAAATTAATTTCCTATAATTGGTATCTATAATAGAAAAAAACCGTTAAAATTATTGAAATGTTTATTTCTGTTCACTTTATTTCCTGGAATTGTGACTATATTTTCATTCAATAAAAATAATAACTTTTTTCATTTATTTTAAATGTTTGCTTCAATGCCAGCCCAATATCGGACGGGTATTACAATATGGTTGGTATTGTTAGCTTCCAGTTATGGGAAGGGTATGTAAGGGTCGGATGAGGGGAACGGAGGGATAATAATGTATATTTTAAAAGAGCCGTTAGATTTTATAAACATATTTGTTATGAAAGACATGTATAATATTTGCCGAACCAATACATTACCAGTCGATGGTATGCGTGTCTTAGAGGGGGTCCGACATTATCTTTAATGTCTAATCAATTCTATTATTTAAAGTTTTTTATGAAAATTTTAAGTACTTTTTTATGGTATACACAATATTCTTGTGT